CCCCCCCCCCCATTCCCAAGACCAAGGTCCCTCACCTCATTGCTCTGGAAGCTCTTGCCAATAGGAATGATAGTAGCTGCTGAAAGAGGGTGAAAAGGTGGAAGGTATCACACAGAGGCTAGCAGGAGCAAGGGAGATCAAAGACAGTTCTTGTTGCTACCTCTTCTCGGGCTATACTTTCAAATTGCCTGAGGGGATTGGCTGGAAGCCAGAATATTGGTTTGCTTCTGGCTTGAAGAAGCCATATTTGGCAAGGAGTCACTAGTGAAAGGGCTAGAAGGTTCTGGAGGCCCCTTCGCTTGCCATTCCCACAGGAGGGCTGAGTTATTTTTCTGATCTTGTTACTCAACTTGTATAAAAGAAGTTCTAAGTGAATGCAAATATACGGCATGTCAACATGTTAGGAAGGAGTTAAAAAGCATTCTGCTACTCATGTTGGTAGCTGGGAGTGGGGAGAGTTTCGTTTCTAAACTATGCATTATCAGGTATTTTTCAGCATTTATACATTAATATGCTTCTACAAGACCCCAGCTATGGGAACAACAAAATTCTCCCCCCAGACTCCTGAACACCTAGATTTCCAGCTTCCCAGTTAATTTCCTCCATAAACTTCTACAAGCTCAGTAACCCAAGATTGCAAAAATCTGGTATACCCTCCAGAAATAGGAGGGTAGCAAATTTAGGCTTTCTTCTAAATCACTTGCGTAACATGAGTGCCTTCGCAGCTTTGCCCCAAAGTGCTACTTGTTTCCCAAGGTTTCTTCTATTTAAATTGTATTTAGTTTCAGGCCCCTCTATGGACATGTAACAGAAACCTCCTTTGTCTAGAGTGATGCTCCTTTCCTAAACTCATGGAGACCAGACCAGGTGAATGTAGGTGGAGAAAATCAAGGTGGTACCTCTCTATTAATCCCACTAGATGTGGGGTTTTAGAAAGAGGGGTTCATGCTCCAGGATAGACGTATATCTAGAATGCAGTGTGAAAGTTAAAACGTTTAGAGCGCAGATGCAGTTGTGGCACGTGACCTGCCAGTTATGTAGGTGCCACCATAGAAGTCGGCGTAGGTATATCTTTTATGGTGCTTTCTCCCTGTGAACACATCAGGCTCATCTTTTGTTGTTTTTTTCTTCTATTCAAAGCTCTTCGCTTTAAGAAGTTAAATGACAAACACCTCCAGCTTTATAATGCCCTCTCACACCATCTCACACAGCCATCTCCCAGCCTCCCTCTGCACTCAGCAAGGGCATGAAACTAACCTAGTGCCTGTATTCCAGACCATTTCTGAGGTCTCGTACCCACCCAAGGAGGCAGCGCTTCAGAACTGTCCTCCATGCCTTCAGCAGCCCCCTCTCGCGGCTAAGGTACACACCCGTCCCTCTGCCACCCCACCTCCACCCCTGGCACAGAGGTCGTGTGCTGCTTATGTCTAAAGGGATCCCCTATATTTAACTGCCTCAGTGACCTAACCTCTTTCTTCTCGTGTGCCAGAGGTTAAGATGAAGGAGGAGTACAACACATACTTAAGCCCCAACCGTTTAAAGGTTTTCACTGGGGCTCACTTTTCTTGGATGGTATTTATTACCAGACTGGCAAGCCTAACTCCTTAGGTTTACAGGAAGTATGCATATTTTTATAAAACAATTGTATGTCCTCCACATATTTCTCTGTGTTACTATTGGCCTCTAATAATTTGCAGCTGTTTCACCTTTTCCTCATTTGTCTCTCAGTTGAAGGCCTAGTTGGAGGGAACAGCACAGGAACAGCCTTGACAGTCTGTAATTATTGTATAAATATTTTAATAGCATATAAATAAGTATATTCCTTTTATTTTGAAAAAATGATCAGACACTGCCTTTTGTGTGTTTGCTGCCTGTGGCACCCTTTTTTAAAAAGACTGTTACATATTAAAATAGTGTATATATATATAAATATTACCTCTTTTGCTGTACAGTTGTGATAGATCAGACTGAAGATTTTATTTTTTGTGTGCTTTTTATAAAAAAAATTAATACACTAAAGAAAATCTTGCTGATGTGATTGTAATGTACCTATGTAACTTATTTACTTTTGAATGTTCTTCTGTATCTTTAAACCTTTTATTAAATAAGGTTGTAAAAATTCAGAGTTGAATGCTGTGTTCTTTAGGGGATTGACGTAAGTAGGCCTTGTTTTGCTTGCAGGGGATTACTGGACATTTTTGAACCATAAGGATTCTGTTTTATCAGCCCATTGTCAGTGATGCCAGGACAGGAGAAATTAACACACTAGCGTTTGCCTGGCTACAAAGATTACTGAATACAGGTAGTTTTACAAAATTTTAGAGATCTCAATTCACTGTCTCACGCAAAAACATGTAAATGACACACTTGCAACATTTTAGTTTCACCGGGATGAAATACGGAGGGTGGAGAATGCGATCAGGTGGCATGAGAAAGCCATGTGGCTGAAGAGGGTGTTTTCGCGTTGAACCCGCCACGAGACTGGACACGCCTGTCATGACGGACGCATTTTCAACAGTATCATCTTAAATACCCTTTATTATAATCTTTTAAACACCGTGCTTTGTAAAACAACACATCTGAAAAATACGGGAAAAGAAATGCGCCGTCAGAGAGGCCTGTGCTCCCAGCCCCGGCTGTCACCATGGCAACCGCTGGAACTCCCGGCCGCCGGAGCCGGTGGGTCTCGCGTCGCCTGGGCTACCGTTGCCATGACTACATTGGCGCTGAGTGGGCCTCGGGGGCGGGGCGCGCGGACGCCGCTCGCTAGACCGGCCCCTCCCTTCACTGCGGCAGTAACTCCACCGGCGGCTGCGGGAGGACCACC